CGGGATTCCGAGGAAAAGCAAAAGCTTGGCGTATCAGCCTAGCTTGAGCCCACTATTTTTCACTTTTGCAGTTCAGGTTCTGTGAACCCAAGGGACTGGACCAATAAACAGAACAACAGAGTTCTGCTCTTACCTATTGCCAACATCGACTCCCTCTAGTTCCAAACGCCACAGCATCGATGCCGCATCAGCCAAATCCAGTACGGAATTGCTTTTGTTTGCACGACGACATACTTCACTAAAGAAAAAGCGCTATTTAAATGAAACTGGACAGTCTTACGGTAACTCTACCCAGGCTAAGGGGGAATCCTTCACTTGACCTGACTTACTCATCAAAAATAGCTAGCGGTGCTTCATAGTTGCCTTGTTCGATGTAGTAAAGGGCATTGTGCCAGTAGTTATGAGTAGCGATAATCCATCCTGGCTGGAAGGTAAATATGCATTACCGAATCACTTGAATACAGTAGTAACCAATGGTAACGCTACCGTACGCTAGAATACAGTAGGGTCCAATAGTAACACTACCGTATACACAAAATACATTAGTGATCAATGGCAACGCTACCGTATGCCTAGTTCATGATTAAGGCAAAAAAAAGTTTTTCACTTCCTTGTTCCGAGACAAGTAGCCATTCGACCGTATTGCAGCAATACATAGTAAGCGTGGTTCCGATAAGTAAAGTATGCTTCACTCACTCTCCAGTCATCAACAGTGCTCTCCATGAATTGAATTCCTTCATCAATACGTCCCTCCATTAGCATCACATGCGCACGGGCGTGAGTTGCCCAACAATCGAAGCGTTGCATATTTAAAGCCTTGAAAATTGAACGTAATAGCATTTGGTATAATGAATGTGCTGTCACGTCACAGCGCAAAATTCTCGCGTTCAACAAGCGTGACAGGGCGGGTCAGTGATAGTTGCCCTGTAAGTGCGCTCCTCCCCCTCCCCTTTGCGCGAGAATATTTCGTCGGCTCCTATTCAAAATCAACATTTACAGTCCTAGAAAATTTTAATTTGCAAATATCCCTGTTTCAATTGGAGCCTAAGAAATAATAATTGTGTTCTCTCTGTTACTGTACACGCAAGTATTTCTAATTACATCTTGAGTAAAAATCTGGTTTCTTGAAAGGATCGATACTTCGGAATCACGCGGTTATCGTTGTTTGAAAGATTAAAGGATAAAGTAATTGACATCGTCGTTTGCCTAACATCAATTCCGTATCTGTAATGCGCCAAGCATTCGACTTCTATTCAGAATCCCGATGCGTATGTGGTCTCTACAACGAATTTCGGTCGCTGCAAAACTCGGTGCTTCCCAATG